CCATGGATCCATGTGGATCCCGGGTCCAGGGGACCTTAAGCTACATGTGGATATAATTTTCGTAAAATTTCGTGGAGAAATGAGGTCAGGATCCACGTTTGCAACGGGATCGCATCTGGGAGGGGAAATATACATAGGCGTGGTAAGCACTCACCCTAACCCCTCATTGTGTGTAACCGTCCCCCATTTGCCCTGGAACCCTAGTACCCAAGCCCTGGTCCGATTTCCCCGGCATATCCACCCCACACTCGTTCATTGGCGGCCGAGGTGGCCTGGTCGGATGGATGAGTAGAGCAATGAGTACCGCGCTGTGTAGTCGCTAGTCACACTGTCACGCTCCTGATGGACCGGCCTGTGTTTCCTCTTCTTGAGGATCCATGCCCGACAGCAGAGGATCCGCCCAAAACGAGTTGCCCGATGCATTTGTGGTATGAGGGCCCGTTATATTTTCTCATTTTTGTGTGAAAATCTCAATCTCAAGCCTGGGGATCCTCGACTTGAGAGGCCGGCAGGTCTGATCACTTTGATGGCTGCCTGTCAACTTTCACCGTGCTCCCATTTCTCGCTCCCTATTCCCCCACAATGGGTTCTGCCTAGTTTTTTCATTCAATATTCATATTAGGGACCCTTAAAAACATTTTGTCTGATTTGACCAATGAAATCCGGGCACTCCCTGCCCCGGGATCCCCGATGCAGTACCCATCACAAAATTTGATGCAGCGGAGCAAAGATGGCTCCCTTCCACACCAACCCCTGGCTCTAAAAATACGAAACTTGGGATTCAAGACCTTGGATACAATGTGTCGAGTCCCAGCAAAAAAAAATGGAGATGTTGTGTCAATAGGGTTTGGGATCCCCGGTTCATCAAAAACGGCCTGGTGAGATGATGCAAAAAAAGTGATCTGATTGTTGGGGGCTGCTACGCAGCCCCCGCCCCCCAACCCTGGGATCCAAGTGAAAAATGGATGAAGGGCCTCTAGGGCTTTCATACAAGCCAGGTTTCAAGAAATTTGGTTGAGAATTGAGCTTGGGATCCCCGTTTGCAATGAGATCATTTATTTCGGGGCCAATACCACTAGACCACCGCTTGATGCCAGTGGGGACGGAGCTCTTGCGTAACGTTGGGAATCTCGACGTCCTTGCCGTCGTGATTGTACAACGCGTAGTCGCGCGCCCAGTGCTTTCTGAGGAAGGGGGGCCATCCGCCGCAGTAGGCGATCATGTGGTCTACAGACCATTTGTCGAATTTGGCATGGGCGGGGTTGTCGAAAGAGGCCATCAGCTTTGCCGTCGCGTCGATCTCGCTGGAGAACAGGGTCGTTGCGGCGGTATCCGCCTCGTCCGACCCGTCGAAGCTCACGGACTCGGCTGTCTCCCAAACTCGGAGGGCGATTTCGTCGAGAGCGGCGGCGTCGATGTTCCGAAGGAGCTCGGGGTCGACGCCCCAAGCCGTGGCTGCAGCGCGGCCGCGGAGGTCTGAACGGGGTGAGTGAATGGTCGGTACCGCCAAGACGCCCGTTGGGCGCAAGGTAAAATCAATCGACAACAAGAATTGGTATACGATTTGCCGGATCGTCGGTACCTCCAAGTTGCCCGTTGGGCGCAAGGTAAATCAGTCAAGAACAAAAAAATTGGCAAACGACTTGCCAGATCGTCGGTACCCCCAAGATGCCCGTGAGGCGCAAGGTAACTCAGTAACCAAAAAAGTAATTCACGATGTGGCAGATCGTCGGTACCCCCAAGATGCCCGTTAGGCAGAAGGTAAATCAGTCAAGAACAAAAAAAAATTGGCAAACGATTTGCCAGATCGTCGGTACCCCCAAGATGCCCGTTAGGCGCAAGGTCAAGTCTATTAGAGATACGGTTCACCAGGTTTGATCACTCACATGCGAGAGCCTGCATTTCCTCGGCTGGTTCACTCATGTCCTTGCCCTTCATCTCAGCCACCACGCTTAAATACCCCAGCGTCCGCGCCGCAATCTCCAACTTCCGACCCCATGCCGGTTGCGCAAGTCCCCCATTGCGGCGCGAAGCCGGTTCTTCTTTCAGCAGTGCGTCAAGCTGATCCGCCAGCTCTTTCCTCTCGGTGACGTTGACTCTTCGCAGGACGTGTCGATCAGGGCCCTCAATGGGCACAAACCCAAACCCTTTCAGGAACACCGCCGCGGCACGCGTGGCCGACACAAGCGACTCCAGCTCGATATCGCTGCCCACCAGCACGTCTCCCTCCGGCATCGTTGGCAGGTACTGCGCAAAGTCGTTCCACCGATCCTGCAATCTCCTCATACACCGCCCCGCCTTGGCTCGCAGCGCATCCGCATGACGCTCGTACAGCATCGAGAAGAGCATCTCGGCATTTGTCGACCGCCATATCTGCCCCACGGACCCTCGGTACAACTTGTTGAGGATCTGTTGCTTCTCCCCGCCGTAGTGAGTTACTCCCGGCGGGACTCGCGCCGCTGCCGCATCTTGCAACTGGTACGAGTCCGACATGAATACCTCCTCCGGATCCCCCATGTTCGACTGTTTCAGGAGCTCCAAGAACTGCATAGCCCTAAGCATCGGCGACCCACGGTTAATTGCCACTTACACGAGCCGTGTGCGTGTCGTGCCAGTTGTTGACTAGCGCCGCATCCCTGAATCGCTCGAAGACCGGCGCTTGCGTCCAGTCAAAGTCCCTGGCTTCCTTGTTCGTCCAGACAAGGAGATTGCGCCCCTCCCCGATCAGCTCCGCCCGCAACTGCGCGTGCTCCTCTTTCGTGAACGTCGTTCCTCCGGGCCATGTCTCAGCCCAGAGCGGATACACTTGATGATTCTCCAGGTCCTCCACAAACTGCGGCTTCTGCTTCTCCCCATCTTCTTCCTCGAATTCGTTGAAGAGGTCCGGAAACAGCTGCACGAGATGCGCGAGTGCCGCAAGAATCACAATCACCTGCGACAACTTGCTCTTACTCCGACTCGTGTCCACCGACTCCTTGGGCTTCTTGCTCGCTGCCTGCCCCGCCGGCTGCTGCTTCGCCTTTCTCTTCCCTGCGTTGCGTCAGTAACGAACAAGTGCCGATACCACTTTGCACTCACTTTGCGACGGTTCAGCGGCCTTCGCCGCCTGTGCCGGAGTCAACGTGGCTGGCGTCACAGGGACACTCGACGATGGCAGCTGCGATGGTGCAGGCTGCGGCGTCGAAGGCAACTGCGATGGCGCAGGCTGCGGCGTGGAAGGCCGCGCATCCATCGATGACCCTTCTTGCGGCGCGTTGGCCGCCGTCTTCTTTTTCGCTAGATCACTTTCAGCGAAAGGTTCTCTCATCGAATCCACTTACGTCGGGGTTTCGGGCGCATCCCCTGCACAATCTTCCGCGGCGCTGGCGCACCCGGCGGTTTGCTCACGCCCTCTCCCCGACCACCCCGTCCAACCACCTTCACCGGCGCCCTTAGCCCCACATCGTTCCGTCCCTCATCGTCGTCATCTGGCCGCATCACATCAGCCATATCCACCGTCACTGCGAAATCATTACCGGACAGCACCGTCAAATCCCCATCGATCGGATCTTGCTCAGGTGCGACGGTTTTCCCTTTCCCTTTCCCCTTCTTCGGCGGCGCAGGTTGTTCCTCTTCGTCATCGGTGAGCTCGGGCGTCGGTCGCCGCTTCCCTTTCCCCTTCTTCGGCGGCGCAGGTTGCACCTCTTCGTCCTCGGTGAGCTCGGGCGTCGGTCGCCGCGTCCCTTTTCCCTTCTTTTTCTTGGGCGCTTTCTCGGCTGCTTTCTTCGCCGCTTCCTGGGCTTCTCGCTCAGCCGCTTCCTGGGCTTCTTGCTCCGCCGCTTCCTCGGCCGCTTTCTGAGCAGCTTTTAACGCTTCTCGCTCTTGTTTCCGGTGAGCTTTCTCGGCCGCGGTCAGTTTTTTAGGCATTCTGAGATTATCGTCGGGATCGAAACGATACGTGTGTGCGATCTCTCTTACGGAGGCTGTACAACTACGGATTAGGAAGGTGGTGGTCAAGAGCAAGAGGCAAAGTCACATCACACATCACTGTTCCAAGTGTCACTGCATGGCACGTGAACAGGTTGCTTACCAAGACATTACCTAATCTTTTTCCGCCTTACTTTGTTATTGTTGTTGTCGAAAATCGCGTCCTGTATCCCCGAATGATCATCATCTCTAAGTTGTACCATGCCAGTTCCCGCAGTCTTGGGCGTGACGACGTATTAACTAAGGGTCGAACAAAAGATTTCACTCCAAAAAAAAGTTTGTTGGTTGCCAGAAAGCAAAACGTCGTGACGTCCAAGACACCGTGTGTCCGGCTGGTCGTCTGCCTTCGTTATTCTCTTTACCTGACTCGTTTGGCAACTTGACCCGTTCAAATCATCGTTGGCTCCAAGACACCGGGTAACCAGGCGGTCAATGTCATGGTCCTCGATGTCAGACCATGACCCTGACCGCCTGGATACCCGGTGTCTTGGAGCTTACGATGATGTGATTCGATCATGTCACATGTCAGTCATGTGATGCAATAAACATGTGGACTTCACCACCCGGCCACACGGTGTCTTGGACGTCACGACGTTTTGCTTTCTGGCAACCAACAAACATTTTTTCAGTCGACTCTTGTCTTCGACCCTTTTCAGTCAATACGTCGTCACGCCCAAGACTGCAGATATGGGCATGGTGCATTGGACCAGTGCACAGGCTGTACATAGCAAAAGTTGTTTGGTGTAGGACCACATTTGGTACAAGTTGGAAAGTTCGGTTTACTTGTCTCGTGCAAATGCTAATTTTTGAGACAGTCTGACAGAACGTCGTCACCACCAATACACCGTGTACCCAGCCCCTCTCAGGCTGAAGGAGCTGCGTCGACGCATAACATCGTCACCTCCAAGATACCCGGCACCACACCTTTCCAGTCATGTGCCCCCTGCTAGGGTAACCCTAAAGGGCTTCCCTGGCCCAGGGTAACCCAGCCCTGGGGTTAGGTCTGGCCTAGGGAATCGACCCTAGACCACTCTCTAATAACTAACCCTAGCATCATTGAACGCGGACTTGATCTCCGGCTGCAAATCAGCATACTTCCACCCAGCCAGCTTCGGGATCTTGATTTTCGTGGCCGCAGATCGCGGAGCCAGGCTTCCGGCAAATGACCCAGCGGAGGCCGATGTAGTGTGCACAGCAGCGCCGTTCCAGGTGACATGCTTCACTCCCAACGCGCCAAACACGGTGAGCGGAACGGTTGCATTGAGATCGCCGACAAGGCCAAGGGTCGAGCCAGAGATGGTGGCAGTGTACACAAGGTACGAACCACCCACGAGCAGAGAGTCTCGTCTGTCCCGATCGACTAGAAGTTGCCGAACTCGCCGCTAGTCGAGAGCGCTGGGGCCCAGAACATCGCCGCAGTTGCATAGTTGACGTACAGGACCAGTTTTGAGGAGGATTCGTGCAGAGTCGTCAGACCGGTGAAACCGAGGTGCAAGGCGATGACCGTCGTCCCGTTGACGCTGGCGGATTGGCCAAAAGATACTAAGGCCGCAATTGGAGGTGCCGATAGATACCAGAGGAGACTGAGTGCGCACCGAAATCATGGTGGACACCTGCTCCGCATCTGTTGACATCATGTTCATAATCTTACCTGTATCTACCCAGTTCCATGTGGTTAGCACGGCCCTCCCAAGCAGTCGCTCCGAATCAACACACCTGCGGCCTATTTGGCCCCGTCCACTGACTTCTTAACAGAGCTGCGGTTCCTCCGCCGCAGTGTCTTGTCATAGATCGCCGCCATCAGCTCGGAGCGCATTCGGAGCGACGCCTGGCATTGGTACCCTGCAGCAAGGTTCATAAATGGGAAGAGCAGTTAGGCGCGACTGACAGAGATGCTCGACAGACAGCTCCGCATTCACCAGCCCCACCCCAAAGATGGCCTCCGCGTAGATATACGCAAGCGACCGGTCGACCGAGTCAGGTGCGGCTGGTCCAGTAGTCGAGCAGACGTCTGCGGGTCATCAGTAATTCGTCGAAAGGCGTATGAAATGAACGGAGACTGACTTGAGGAACTACGGGTTTGGTAAATACAAGGCAATGCAAACCAGCGTCCCAAGAAACTTGATTGTGAGATCGAGCGCGTTGGCGAGCGATTTTCATCAACAGGGGCATGGCACTGTCCAAATGGGAGTCAGGCAAACACAATGCGCGTGAACTGAAAGAAACACGCACGATGTCTGCTGGAACGTCGAGAACACCGCCCGCAACACATGGGTCGCGCTGAGCTCCCGCACATCTTTGAAGTCCAAAGTCGAGTGCGAGCCCTGATTCGCTGGTTCAGCCGATACACCGGTATCCCGAAAGATGGATCCTCACGCGTCTGATCTAGGGGCACACCCAGCTGAACACAACCCAGCCCCACAGCGACGTGTAGTCCTCCGGCGAGACCGAGACCCCGATATTGACCTTGCCGACCCGCGTCGACGGGACACCCACGGGCATGCGCAGGACCATGACAAGAAGCAGCGCCGCGACGAGCGTTGATGCTGACAAGGCCCACGCGAGAGGAAAGGACCGGTGGACAGCGAGCATCGGGTGGTTCATCGAGATCTTGTGTGGGGGCGAGTCGACGCACTGCTCTACGTCTGCATCTGAAAGAACAGCGCGCGCTCAGGGCACCCTAGTCTGGAGTAAGCGCCTCGTCCTCTTCGTCATCGACACCGAAGCCAAGGGCATCTCCTGAGGCCACAGCCTTGGTTGTAGGGGCTGCTGCTGCGAATGACGTATTGAGCTTGACCGGCCCACCGCTATCCACCAACATTCCTGCCTTCCTTGCCTCCTCGCTGCGTCGCAAACCATCCATTTGCTGCTGCAAGAACATCTCGCTCGCCTGCTCAAGCTCAGACTTCTCCCTCTCTTCGTCTGCTCGATCCGTGGCGTCGTCTCGTACCTTCTGCGCTAGGATGTGTGCTCAAGAATCCCGCCAGCGTGCGCGATCCGCATGGTATGGGTCCGATTGTTCGGTGTCAGAGTCATCGTCGTACGACGCCAGACGCTTCAACATGTCTGATTTGACTTGCGCGTGTGATGACTTGGTCGCACGATCCCGTGTAATTGCCCGTTCCAGTGCAGCCAGCCGTTGTCGTTCTCGCGGTTCGTATCGACGGTCTTGCTGCGTGAGAAGTCAGCCGAAGTAAAAGCTGCGACAGCCCTAACGTACATCTCTGGATGATAGCTCCTCCTCTTTTCTCCTTGCTTCCTTTCTCCCAGCCTCCATCTGTTCGTCGGTCTGTGTGGGTGTACCGGCACTGCTTGCCCCTTTGACAAACTCCACGGGTTTGCCATATCCTTGGGCATCACCTCCGAACGCCCTGCTTCCTGGTTCCGGGTCCGAGCCTCTCTGTCCAGCCTGCGCACCGCCGGCGCCGCCACTGGAGCCTCCGCCCCACCGATTCGGCGCAGCAGGTGCGGCTGAAGCCGCAATCTGGCTCCGCGTCTGTATTTCCAGCTCCTTCACCTTTTCCCGCTCCTTCTTCGCCGCCCGCTCTCGAAACTGCGCGATCTCGCTCACGACCAGCTCGCGCTGCGTCTCTGGCAGATCCGCCTCCTGCAGATTGTGCAAATGCGGCGGAATGACTTATTTCTCCTTCTCCCTGCCTAGCGCGGCCTGTGCCACCCGGGAGAGGTCGTCGAGCACAGCATCAATGAGTTGCTTCGCTGTCTGGGAGTTTGCGGTCGGTGCGCGCCGTGTCGACGCGTAGGTGTTCAAGAACGCGGTCGTTTTTTCTTCGGATTCGATCTTTAGTGCGCATTTTGAGATGCAAGAGGGAAGGATGAGGAGGGAAATACTGGTAACTTCTTGTTTGCGCACCCTTCCTCGAGCGCCGGCAGCTCAATTCCATTGGGCAGTGCAAGCGCCAACAGCGCGCCATCCGCTGTCTCGAATTCCGCGAATCCAAATCCCCGCGGCTTTCCAGCTGGTGTGATGAGCCTCTTGAAGCCTGATATTGGCCCACACGCGGTCAATAGTGCATTGAGTGTTGTGTCGGTGACGCCGCCTGAAATGGATCCTACGAAGAGTGTTGTCTGTTTCAGAGGCTGGCCACCCGGGTTTTGATTCTGAAGCGCGAGCGTAGAGAAGGAGGGTCCTTGTCCGCCAGAAGGAAGTGGTGGTCGAAGAAGTGCAGGTACTTCATCCCAGGTGTCGTCGGCGTGCTCTCGATCACCTCGTCAGCATAATCGCATCGATGAACCAGAACCCGCGGCACTGCCTCCCTCTCCTCCTCGCCCAGCTCCTCCCGAATGACGCGCTCCAGGTCCTCGACCGTCACACCACTCGGCTGCAGCACACGGATCGCGCCGTCCGGATGCAGCCCGTCGACGACAGTGCTCCCCACCCCCAGGCTGCCCGCCCCGCCGTCCAGGACGATCGCAACGCGCCCCTCGAGACCGCGCACGACGTGCTCCGTGCGTGTGGTACTTGGCTTCCCCGAAGAGTTCGCGATCAGCGCGGCGAGGGGAGGGCAATGAGCACGCGCGCGACGGGGTGCGAAGGCATGCGGACCGCCACCGTCTTCTGGCCCACTAACCCGGCGGATCGGTAAACGGATCTTCGACGCGGTGTAATCGAGGAGGACCGCGTGTCCCCATACGTTCGAAAAAGTGGCGACAGCGACAGAGGAGCAGCATCCGCTTCCTCCGCGTGCTCGGTTGTGCCGATAAGCGCAGAAAGCGAAGCGGTTGCACAATGGATTGGCTGGTTGCCTCTGAGATGCGCCGGGCATCTTCCCGGACGACGCAAATGGTCCTGTGAAGTGTGAGATGTGGGACAGCGGTGTATCTGTCGGACTGACTCCAAAGGTTTTTGCATTGGGATGTGTGTGCGCACACCGAGTACACGAGAAAACGCCCGCGTCGTTGCAATTGAAAATAAAGGTCTGCGCGTCGTCCGGGAACATGGCTCCGAGCTGAGCCTGATGAAATACGCGGCCATCTTTTTTTGCAGTGGTCCCATCCAGAGAGAGATCAGCCTGATATAGCTCACAGTGAAACATTTCATGGAGGAGCATTGCGACGACGAGAGAGCTCAAGGACAGACATGTGCGGCAGAATCCGGCCCAAGTTGTCCACTGAGAAGCCCAGGGCGGACAAAACAGCGCCGACCGCGATAGAAGACGCATATAGCAGGCATGGATTCAAGAACTATTACGTAGACATGTAGCCTATGAGCGTCCTTGCGCGCATGAACGCACGCGTCGGGCGATAGTGGCGTGAGGGAGGTGTATGCGCGTCTGCCGTAGGCGTTGTGTTGGCTCGAGATCTGAGGGTTGGGTGAGCTGGCATGGTGGGTACTCACCTGTAGTCCCCTTCTTCGCCTGAACTCTCCCTCCACTCGCCCTAATCCCTCTGCCGCCCAAGACCAAGCCCTAGCTCCCCAGCCCATCCATCCCACACCCGTTCGTTGGTGGCCGCGGTGACCTGGTCGGATGTACGAGCAGAGCGATGATGGTGCAGGGTGATGTGACGGGGTCACAAGAGGTGACGCGAGAGATGTTCGACGAGGTTATCTCGTCTCGTACTTTCCATAACGCAGTATATGTATTATTTTTAGTGAGCGATATGTATCATAAGATTCTATAAGAACTTCCTGCTGTCTTAGATGGCCCACAGACCCCCTGCGTCCCCATATGTTGAGCTGAAGGCTGCAAGTGATGGCCGCGCGGAGAGATTGTGTAATTCCACAAGAACGGCTGAGGATAAAAATTTGAAATTCAGGATCCTACATCCTTCAGCATGTATCTAACGATCCATGTAACAAAAACCGAGATGTTGTGTGAACAGCCCTCTGCGTCCCCGTCCCATCAAAAGTGCTGATGGGAAATGATCGTTTTTGAGACCCTCCGCGGAATTCGATCTGAGACACGCACCATTGGCCAGAAGTGGGACGCCGGTGTACGCACTCGTACCTGGGAGCATGAGCAACAGTTTGCGCATTTTTTCGGATCTTTCGGACGGGAACTTAGGCCGGCGTCCCCAAATTGTACTAGGGCTGGTAGATACTGTATGTCACTGGTACCTGTTCTGTCCCAGCTTTGTAGTCCTGCCGCACTTTGAGCTTGCGGCCATCTTGGTCAACATGAGCATCAAGTCTCCGGCGTCCACCTTCCCGCCTCTCAGGTTGCGCTCTGATCGCTATCCTGTCATCAATAATAATCCACCGAGCTTGTCCTCTTGTCTTTCATCGGTGCCGTGTCCTTACTGATACATAAGCCATGTCACACACAAACTATGATCGGCAGAGGTAGCATTGCTCGCAGCAGATTTTTTACGGCTAGCGCTGTTCATATTTGGATCCGTGCAGCTCACTCGCTTCCATCATGCAACGGTCCGGTATTTGAATTTCGTTTCTGGAAAACAGTTCACTTTCTCTCCCCATCCCGCGCGACGGTGACGTGCTGCTCTTCTTCCTCCTTAAGGGCGATCCGGGTCGGGTTTGTCACTGACCGAGGTCAAAACTTCGTTAGGTCGTAATTCCGTGGCCGCCCGTTTGAGATAAACCGGTACACGAATACCCGTATATGTCACTTCCATTCTGTAGCGATGTTTTCCGTATTGAACCTGATCTCTCCCACGCACTGTTCATATCGAACATCCATCTTTCTAGCCACGAATGGCAGAAATTTGCGGCATTATGAGACTTTAAGTATTCACAAACGAGCATTCAATACCCCGTTTCCTGCCTAGCAATCTTCGTGATCAGCCCCTTCTGAGCAGTCTTTGCCGACGATCGGGAGGTCATCTATTTCGGTCCTGATCGGCCGATTTCTTCATGGCCGAATTGGCACGGTCACCTTCAGTCATCCATTTGTGCATGCATCTTTCGTCCGCATTCACATGTAGAATGTCATCTGAGCCGTCTGCCGATGACGAAAGCACCACGTGTATTCGCGCTCTCACCCTCAAACCGATCGAGAACTTTCCCTCACTTGACAGTAAGCGACCAGACGACTACGCCCGCAGCATTGAATCCTGTTGTAAACCCACCATTCAGAAGTAGATTGAAGCCGCCGTAGACTGACAACTCGGCCCATCTCTTTTATTCCTGTCCTTTCCGACACGCATGCCACTTGCCAGCTCATTGCCGACCTTCTCACTGTAACATCAATCGCTCCCATGCTGTGGCGGCCGCGGTTGTCAACTCTGGATTCTGACTGTCTTGATATGTCGCAGGGACGTCCAAATTAGGACCTCCGCCCAGCGTTCACAGCGCGTCTCCGCCGTGCGGGGTCCGTATCCTCGGGTCCACTGCAACGCCAACTACCTGGTGTGCACGTCGATTCTGGTGCTATCGGAAGGAACAGAAAGAGCTCCTGTGCAGTTCTCTAGAGGAAGACAGATAGGCCCGCGTCGACGTCTGCGCGAGATCACATGATGACTATTCCTTAGTTGCTGCTTGCGAAATCCAGGGCGTCCTGTTCTCCTTTTTCCTCTGTCTGCACAGTTCATCTAACACGGCTTTTACCTCGAGCGGCAGGTGGGCCTGCAAGTCAGAATAAAGGAACGGAGTCGGGCCGGAGGGCTTATGTCCGTTGGTTCAGACTGTTTTCCTTTCGGACCCCTCCCACGGACGTCACTGTTCTCGTGGTGCTGAGGAACATCCATGTCCCGTTTGGCTGGCAGCGGTCTTTCTTTACGGAATCAGGATCCCTTTGGTCCCACATCTCACATATGCTAAGACTCTCGCGCCCGGAATGCGTGAGTACGTGAGCGGGATTCCAACTTTCCCTCGTCTTATCGAGTCCGCGCCTGCGGCTCAACAAACTCAATGTGTTTCAGACTGATGGTGGAAAGTCTCCTACTCGGAGTGTTCTAAAGGTACAGTAAGACGAGCTATAAGCGTTATAAGCCCCACTACTTCGAGGCCAGGAACCGCTCAAGCCGTGTAGTCCGAGGAAAATCTCTGATCTATCCTTCGATCGACTGTTGTAGACCGCGTCTATCAGACATTGATTTTCGAGACATGCTCCTCGGGATCAACAGTGACACTATCCGAGCTCGGCAATCTTGCTTCTCTGTCATACGAGATGAACTGCTCTAGAGACTAATTTGTAGTCTAGAATGCGTGATGAATTGTGATCATCGTTGTACAACCGGGTACGCCATGTCCCGTCTAATCCCAGCCTTCACCCCTGTGCTCCGTCGAGGAATTAAGTGGTCCAACTTTGCTCAGCTTCGAACTCTCCTCAAGGGCGCAGACATCAATCTATGACTGCACCCACAATCAGTCAAAGGGAAAGATGGATGGAGCCCTGGTGAGAGTTTCGTGTGTCCACCAGAAGACTCCATACCCTCGTGCTCCATGCGAGACGTCAGATGGATGCACCAGCGAGTCCCGCAATGGTCACCAGTCATGATGGAACAGAAATTCTATTTCAGTGTTCTGCTCGCCACGTATCATGCAGGACGTAGAATCGATATCCATCCGCGTGTGTAGGTCCGTCAAGATGATCTTCGAGACTCGAGAAGATTTCAGTCCGCGGCATCATGCCGTGTCCTTTACGGCCCTGCGAAGATGCGGATCGAGGTTATATTTAAGCGGAAAGGTCTTCACGTTCTCAAATCGTATCCTTCGTCATCCTCGTCCCTCGCAGCTTGAGCCCATCCCCCCATCCTTCACTGTAGCGTTCACTATTCCTTGTTCTCCGGACAATCGAGCCACTGCCCTCTCTATGACGGCGACTCCCGGCATGAAGTTCATCCTTCACTCATTGCCAGACACATCCAGTATACCCGTGGACGATTCTGGACGAGCGCCTCAATGTGCGCATTGTGGGTGGAGGGGAGAACACGGGCAAGTCTATCTGCTCTCTTATATGTTTGCGGTTCAGTTGCTGACATGGTGCACTAGTCCAAAATGTCCTTTCGGTGAGCTGTATACAGATTCCTAGCCATGAAATTTTGCTGAGAGATTCCCGGATTCTAGCATGATGAACTGGCGCTGCTTGGGGGTGATCTCCAAGGAGCACATCCCATTTCTTCTCCGAGATCATCCTACCATCACCTGTCCAATCTTCCGTTCGCAGGCGCATCCTTCCCTACAAGGCGGAGGCCTCGAAATCACCCGCAACGGCAGATTCTGTATAACATCATATCTTGTTTTGTAACCATGTCCTATCTTGTCGATGATGCCTCATCTGCCTTCTGTGAAAATGAGGACATTGTAACACAGACATCCTATGTGAGTCATACGAGGTTCTTGAGAACTGAGCCGAGTCTTGGAGACTTGAGTCGACATGAGAGTTGTCGATGAGAATTCAGGTCTCGTCTGCAAATGCTTATCGAAACCGCGAGTTTGGAGAGCGGGTTATCTGCTACAAGCGAGCATGTGTTCATATTGCTAACAGAGAGGAGTTTGAGGAAAGAGAATCAGGAGTGGGATGTTTTTCCTGTGGTAAAAGAACGTCGAGCTTGCCTTGAGCCAGCCACAGTAACCATCAGATCTACCTGAGTCGTAGCGCGAGCCGGTCGTGAGCGAGATCGCACAGTAAGTTGATGCGCCATTGTCAATGAGATCAAATATGCAGATAGACTAGTATCCTTTGAATTTGAGGGCCTTCCAATTATCTAATTCTTCCTTCGATTGGTAGATATCCACCATCAAACGCGCCGTAGATCCCATTTTCGCTTCGAGATTCAAGTCTCACATGCATGTCACTGACAGTGCGCTATCCAAGTGTTTGAGGAGCACCGTGACCTAGCTTTCCCGGCAAAGCTCCTCAAGTTTCTGCTTAGGTCGCCTAGCCGTACAAGATTTGAAGTGGCTACTCGATACAGGGAACGAAATACGTGATCGTAAGTTGGGACAATATGAGATGACGTCATCATAAATGTGCGATGAAAGATCATGAGGCAGAACAGGAAAGATGTGTAAACGGTCAAACATGGGTCCTTCCGCACTGCGGGTAAGTAAGATAACTAGCATTGTAACCAGATACTTCGGTCCGGCCAGAATGCAAGGTACTGCACGAGTGCACAGAAAAGACTGGTGAATGAGGCTGACTAGGCCTCTCGACGGGGAGAGACGATGCTTGTCCCGTGGTGACGACGAATGTCGTAGCAGTGCTAGGGCTGCCGACATCGGGAAAATGATCGAATGTCGTGTCTTCTCTCTGGCCTGGAAACGAGGATGCCAAGGAATTGGCACGCTTCAGGTCGGCGACACTGGATCGGGACGTTGTGGACAGGGAGACCGAATCGGTCATCGAGGCGATGCCGACCCCGAACTGGATGGGCAGGGAAAGAGCGAGCGGCGTGGGCTTAGCCTTGATCTTCGGCTCGCCAAAACGACAATGGGACGGCGAGGGAGTAGAGTGCTTGGCAAAGAAGCCACTACTGGGTCGCTGGAGGCCCAAAAGCCCGCCAGCGGCCCAGAATTTGTCGGCGACAGCATGATAAGCATCCGCATAGTGCTTACGAGCCTCCGCTGCAAATCCGAAGAAAGCGAAAAAGACCATAGAGCACATGGGGCTTAGCCAGCGTGTGAGCTCGATGCCCATCCTGGTGCCCCGGTCCGCAGCCCAGATGATGCGCGGAATCTCCTCGACACGACCGAAGTCAAAATGAGCACTCGCCCACGAGACCCATGGTGAAACAGGCGAGGCGGTAGCATTGATGTAAATGGCCAGAGATGCCAGGGGGACCGTAAGCATGAGGTCCATAGAGGCAAGTGCACTGAGACGAAGGTAACGAGAAGGAGTGAGGGCATTATGTGCGGACAGGAACTGATTAAAGGCGGCACGCCGTTGAGAAAAGGCTCGAAGAGAAAGCACTGGGTCATCCTATCAATATGAATGAGCAGAAGCAGAAGAATAACCGCACCACAATACACGGCCGAGACGAGCCCAATGATGACCGGCCACATGGCAGAGATGAAGTAAGCCGGCAGAGTATTGAAGATGGCGGGGTAACAGCCGATGTCTTCGAAGATGTTGAAGCGATGGCCTTGGACAATATACTGGGCGCCAACGAAGACGGCAGGGAACACGCCACAAATCATGGAGTCGATGAGGACCGTTCTGCGTTTCTGCCCGGTTGAAAGTCAGCTCCAGATTGATTTCACCGACACAGAATGCGCACCTCAGCCTTGGTGACAACGACAGACCGCACGATAGCGATATTGTACAAACGACGATTGATGCACAGCGATGCAGCTGGCAATCCTACTGAGGCGCCCATGATGATTCGGATAGCTGTGACCAATTTGAGTGGAGAAAGAGAGAAGAAAGGCAAGGCGCACAAATCTCACACCAGGCAGGTGCGACGTTGAGGGTGTTTCCAGCCCATACCAAGGAGTTGACGAAAAGATTGAGGCAGGACAGAGACGACCAGAATATGTACCAGCATGTACCAGAGTTCCACGCCTGCATGTGCCAGGACAAGGGAATCAACGGAAGGACAAAGCCGAGACAGGCGAAGATGGAAAACGCAGGATAAGTGGGGTCGGTGTGGTGGAACCGGAGCATAGCTGCAGGTTGGTTGTAGGAAGAGACGAGAAGAAGGAGAGAGAGAGGGGGAGCGAAGCGCAGTCTTCTGCAGTCGGCTCTGGCATTATAAAGGTCCCTTTGTTCTCTGCTTTTGCCACCTGTCGACCCGCATTGTAAGAAGATGTCACGCACACAATGGGTCACGCCCATTGTCACATTGACAGCTATGACTGATGGCTGATGGCAATCCTGATTGTTCGGGCGACTGGGTCGCGCTTGCGGCAAGCGTATCTTGGGTAATGAATCTGGCTTTTCGATAATTCTAGAGTTTCCCACAGGTAGTGAGCTGTGTTGGATTTCCCTAGAGTTTAGATTTCCGTCCTCGGTTGATGAAGGCACGATCAGGCGCGTTGGGCAAGTCGTGATCTTCAGATACGAAAGTCGATGATCGCGGGTCCACGTGGACAGCCATGATCGGATCCATCGGTAACATTTACTAGACCGGAAACAATGCACGAAGATGATTTGAACTCCGCACCATTGTTAGCACGTTGCCGTGAAAGTCAGTTATAAAAGGACGCGAAATTTAACAGACATTCCGCCAATTCTTCTTCCGAGCCTTTGCTGCCAATAAGGATTCCCTACTCCAAATCACGCATCTTCTGCTATTCGCCATGGACGCATTCACCTCCCTCGACTCCTTGGAAGCTTTCCAGAGTTCAGCTCTCCCTGATGTCCACCATACTATCGTGATTACTCATGCTGTCCCTTGTGACGAGGAGACCCATCTCGAGTCCGGCCAAGCCGGCATGTGCACGATTTCCTGAAGAGAGTTCGTTCAAGGTTCGCTGCCCCTCCCTCTCAGCCACATCACAATAACAGGCTGCAGCTGGTCTTTGTTCGCTCTCGCTCAAGCGACCCCGTCGCCTATTACCACCCCTATGCCTCATGTCTGTTTCGGTCTTCACCGTACTTCCTTCCTAAACGCCTATGCCTTCAGCTCTAGGAGCGCTTGTAACACACTCATTGCACCATCCCTTCCTCTATCATTATCTACTTAAGTGTATACCATGTATAACTATCCCGTTCATTCACTCTCGTCGTATCCCCTGTGCCAAGTCTCCAATTCCAGAGCATTTATCACACCGCGACAGTCCCAATGAGCCGAGTCGAACATCACAAAGTTTCCGAAACTCGAAATCTTTCCGCCGACGATCCTGCAACCCGAAAGCGGTCGATACATCGCTCGCTACGCAGACCAGAATGTCTGCCATTGTAAGGAAAGTCTTTATCCCTCACAGAAGTTGTCACCTCCAAAGTCGACTGCGCTCGTCAGATGCGACAACCACCGGGTTTAGATCACTCCTAGCCACATCGTTGACAGACTAACCTTGTCGACGGTCCAAGCGACCTCTGGTTATGACATGTGGCTGTATCTGGGCATGTTTGACGTGCTTGCCTTCCCAAAGCTAGCCCATGTGACCTGGCCGTGTCTGATCTCTGTTAGCCGAAGCAGTGCAGTTACCTATGTGTACCTTTGGCTACACGACCTGGCTGATAACTAGCCTGTGGTAAGCCAGGGCTGTGGCTACGCCTAAATGCAGTGAAAATGGCCCGCGTCTGTCTCAGCATCTCATCAATGATCTTAACGCGAAACGAGAAGCGTAGGTTCCTCAACGGCCTGATTGTCGCAAAGATTTAGATCAGTTCTGCGCATCTTATAAGGCATTAGCGAACAGCAAATTCTCGTGCCCAGTAGCGTCAGGGTGGCTTCAACATGGGAAGCAGCGTGTACATGCATGAAGATGCTAGCACTTTGGTGGGACTGAAATTTTGGGATTTTTGATGCACCACAAATTCAAGTCCCACCGGAGTGTAGGGATCGAAATACCATGCAGCTATCTGATCAGCCACATAATTTCCCAGGGCAAAATACTATTAAGCCCTTTCTAGAAAATGTGTAATTGTACATCCTCAATTTGTCAACGGCGTGAAAACACGTCCTGCCGAGTCAAGTACTACAACTGAAGAACTTGATCTGCATGACCATGGAGTCTCACAGCTGAATGAGGAGTGCGAATTCTGAAGCGTGTTACGCTGCACAACAATAGGACAATAGGTTCGAAACCTTTCACCTCTTGCGAAGGAGGGTCACAGGTGTGACGAATACAATGGGTCACGTTCAAATTTCTTTGTTTGGTCACCAAAGGCAATCTGTGCCCATTGTTCTGTATTGGCCCCCGACAATGTGGCTGGGTAGGATCCTGTGGCATATAAAGGTCAAGTGAGTCCCATACTGCTGCCATTGCATTAACCACCTACTTCCGGACAAAACCCAAGCCTCATCCACCGACCCACACAATGGATTCTTTCTTTACTACGGACTCCGTCGAGCTCAGCGTCCTTTTCGTGCCAACTCTCTCACCTACCACTGCCGACGTGTCCTCCGTCGAGAATGGGTCTCCAGTTGACCTGGAGACACACAAGGGGCTCACGTCTGCAGACGCTGGCTTCTGTGTCATTGCCTGAACTATCGTGAGCGCAACCGTTTCTTGTTGATCTGTCCCATAATCGTTCCTTTCCCCAGTGTCCTGACACCCCTCAGTTTTAAACTTCGCGGGGGTTTGTGTTTTACAATCGTTGGCTCGTTTTGAATCGCATCGTCTCTGTACGTTTCTATCCTCAGGCCATTTCTACCATCCGACGCTCCTTCAGATCAGCTCGATTGCTTCGATATTTCCCGGCGCCCATACCTACACTCACTCATCCTCTCACCAGTCCCATCTTTCTCTCACAATCAAGCAAACTGTTTCCGTAACCATTTCTCATCTGTCATTGGATATCCTGTATCACTATCATTAAAACTAAATTATGTACTACGTGCTCTTGCAGAATAGCGTAAACTGTGATTGACCGATCCCCGAACCACGATTGCGCGTTCATCCCGGTGCCATCGACAACCGGAGTCTCTTCTACTATCCAGACCGCTCTGCTCTATTTTGCCCTTCGGCTGCCGTTGTAAGAGAATGGACGCTGTGTTTTCAGACGGCAATCAAACGGACTTCCAAGTCAATCGACGCAGCTCCGCAGCCTGAGTATAGTCAATGAAAGGACGCATCCCGAAAGGGAAAAGGAAAAGAGATCGCTGGATGGTGGAAGATTGTTTTGGTCGCAAAGAAATGATCTAGCTTCGCATAACGCTGACGTTAACGGTTCCTGTAAACGTATGAGAAATACTGAGGCCGGCGGGATGATATCCCGATCGGAAGAGCACCACAGGGTGTCATAACCACCTTCTAATGAACATGAGCGACTCGTTGAGCAAGAAAGTGGCGCTGGACCCGCTGACTCGGGCGACGCAATCGAATTATCGAGGTTGAAATTTCTGGGTTTGGAGAACTGCCGTGGGATTGATCAAGTCGTTTCAACGTAGTCCAAGAACAGTATCTGGCCTGATGAGTAATGTACTGTATTGCAGTAACAGCAGCCACTTCATACTTTAGCGATGCCGGTGAGGATGCATATTGGCGTGGCGCGACAGTCCCGGCTATGAGCGCAGACTCATGTAAGTAGGAGTATCGTGCCATTCCGAGTGTCTGCTTAGTGAAGCTGTGTGTGTGCGCATCTTTTGCGGATCCTTGCAATGTGCTTAACTTCTCCCTCCTTCCACCCGTCGATGAAATCTCATAACGTTCCATTGTTCTCCTTGTCCTAAGAATGGTTCTGTCATACAAATGATACCGCGCTACGGAGATTCGGCACCTTGGAACGGCAGAGTAGGCATTAGCAAAATCGACCGTAACCACCCGTGGCACGGCACACAACCGAACTGGATGCTACATATCATACATAGCAATACTACGATATTTTGGTACAAGTGAATCAAGATACAGCATATACACAGACGACCCGCACGAGTTACAACAATACAGCGATTGAGCGAGACTAGAAGAGTGGATGCTCTCCTACAGGCGGATCGTCGCCGGCAGGTTTCGACGTTTCGCATCAACGATGTTCACAGTCGCCCTGCCATCTAACATCGTTCTCACCTGTCCAAATCCTATGAAACGATCGGGGTTCGTCAGAAGCTTCATGTCCCGTAAACGCATCCCAGAATGCTCCGCCCAGGCTTGATAGAAGGAAATAGCTCCCAACAACCGCAGCATAGGCAGCAAACACCTCAGCATCGACCTGGTGGTTCTCCAGAGCTTGCTGGTGGCCAAGAAGACTGGGCTTGCCGGACAATAACAAGGACGACGTGGCTTGCCAGAGACCATCGGCCGTGGATGACGGAGGCTGGAGATGTTTACTGGCCCTGGGCTCTGTAGGAAGCTTGATGACTGTAACTGGAGTCTCTGAGTGGGTCTTGTCCTGATGCTCTGGAGCATGCAGGGTCAGAGCAGTCGTGCCTTTCCAGAGATGGATGTGAGGACTACGGATACCGATCAGGATGGAGATTAGAGGAAGATGACAAAGGAAACGGACGCATCCGAGTTGCCCACAGCGGAGGAATTTGCGTCTCCGAGCGCATTGCCTCTAAGATGTGGTGCACCATTCCGTGGTCCAAGACTCGAGGCACTACACGGCATCAACGCCTTGGTGTCATCGAGGGCGGTATCCAGCTTTCCGTCCTGGAGGGGAAACTAAGCCGGGAAGGGAGCCCAAAGTAAATGACAACGAACCATGTCTGCAAATACACTCAACGAAAGCTCGGGAACAGTCACAGTATGAACGCTCGTGAAGCCTCCGCCCAGCGGAGATGAAAGACCACCCCAAAACCTCGAGTTGGCGGCCAAATCCTTGCGCACATTCGGCGTTACCAGGAGGGAAGCACGATGACTGGATGTTGATGCGAGAGAGGAGGACAGTGCAGCGGACGGCGTTAGTGCGCGAATCGGCGGTGACAGCGGGACGCGTGGCGACAGCAAGACAGTATGTGCGGGACCGCGGCTCTCGAGCAAGGCCCGCTTGAGCGCCGCTATCTCCTGCCGCAGAGCAGTATTCTCGTTCTTTGCGCTGCCGAGCTCCTCGCAGATGGCTGTGAGGACCTGGTCTCGTTCGGCGATGTTCTGCTCCAAAGTGGAGATATACTCTAGAGCACAGTCAGCTTGATGCCGTCGGAGAGAAGCTAGGGTACCCTTTCTCCGGACACGGAAATTACGTGCGCTGATCTTGTTCCGCAGCTGGCGCTTCTCCTTGCTCGTCATTTTCTGAAACACTTCAGGCGGTGGGCGCCAGTCGTCCGGAACTTCGTCTTCTTCTTCGTCTTCAGGTTGAGGGAGCAGCATCGAGGCCCGGAAGGTGGCACGGTTCTCTTTGTTAGTAGGTGCGGGACGCGAAGAAGGCGGCGGAGACCCCTTCTTCACCCCTCCGCCCACAACAGTGCCCTTCCGGTTCTTCAATCGGACCGCAGATCTGACGAGATGAGTTGCCGCCTCGTCATCCTCGGAGTTGGAGAAGGGTTCGGGTGAGAAGTCAGAGAACGCGACGGAACCCGGCGAATCGACCAGCTGTGGGTCAATGGTGAAGACGAGGCGAGTGTCGGGAAGAGAACGAGGAGCAGAGATCGACGGTGTAGAGTGAATACCGTTCAAGGAGCCCGCGAACAAGTTGTATGGGGGCGGGATGAGAGGCAGGGAGAGGCTGGGATCAGCACGCAGCGCGGCATTGTTCTGTTCCTCGACTAGGTCAAGGGGATCTAGTGTGTTTGAAGCGATGTAGACGTTTGGTTCAGGACCCGGTAGGATCGAGATGAAGGCGCTTGGGCTAGTACCGCGCGAGGATGAAGGGGCGGACGTTGAGGGTAGCGACGCGAACAGCTCGGTGTGGAAGATGTCACTGAGCTCAGAGGGAAAGTCGCTATCGAATACAGGCGGCGTAAGAAGAGGTGTTTGTGATTCGAGCTGCATCTTACTATTGGGTGTTATGTCGGTGGTCAGAGAGCGACCAGGGTTTTTGTAATGCTCGGTTAGATGACCGCCATACGCTGAGTCACTGTGATGACACGCGGAGTGACTCGGCCACGGCAACCTCTCCCTTTCCTTCTCCGACATTTCACGACATCCATGGACACGCACAAAGCACGAGGGCCCTGCCAGGAGTTTCTGTGGAGGCGATGCGGAGTGCGCGGGGCGCATTATGCCCGGTATCTAGTTCCAGCCTCTGATGTCGTTTCCAATTCTCTGTTTTCACTAGCACACCATGCTCTTGTTCTCTACTGGGCAACAGAGGCCTGATCTTTGTCGAAAAACACCGCTCCCTTCTCTTTTCAAAAATACCTCAGTTATCAGAAAGCTGTCCCAATCAGCACTGCGTCGTGGACTACGCAAGGCATCGACGGGTGCACACCGCCTCTCGTATCCGATCTAGCACCTGTATCCTGGTTTACGTCTTTATCCTCGCCTACAAGGCCGACTTCCTCTTCAAGCAGCCCACGACCCCTGGTTCCGTATTGAGCGGATGAACGCAATCTGATTAGGGCTATGGAGTGATGACGAGCACTCAATCCAAGTCACTCAGTGCTGGCCTCGGGCGCTTCCAGTGGGGCGATGTTGCTCTCCCTCTCTCATACATCGAAACGTGCACCTCGCGACTCCCTCGTTCAAGGCAGCCCCAACTGATCCTCGAGTGGCGCTGAAATCGAAACATGGCCTGATAATTGTACTCGTTGTACCATCCCGCAGCTATCGGTCTACGCTTTCCCTTCCTTCACACTGCACCCCCGCACTTGACACTGACCACGATGCCTCTCACCGCCTCTGACGAGAAAGTGATCAACGTGGGCCTTGGACATGGACACGTGTTTGAGGGCACATCCTAGTCGTCTGACCCTTTCTCGAATCGGTTTTATTACACATGTTAGCAGTTCACAAGTACGAACCTCTGATTTGATTCTGTGATCTCTGTCGCTGTGTGCGAATCTCGCGGCTCCATGCATCGTCGATTCCAGCTCAGGAGTCGGCAGGCAAAAAATGTCGCATTTCTCATGCGTTAGAAGTGGATGAGAACCCGATCCTGAGGAGCAGATTCCGCTGGAGGTGAACGTGATGAGATGACCTTGTGCGACGACGCAAAATCTGTCCCAAGTGAGCGTGGTAATGCGCGTCGAACGTCGAGGGTTGGTGCGACAAAAGAGACTTCAATCGTCCGCGACTCGATTCTGATGCCAGCCGGCTTTCAACCCCAGTTTATGGATGTCATTCTCCAATGAGGTGCGGATGACGTCTTGTTTTGTACCCCAGGAGAAGTACTACCGAGTAGTGTCCGTACTTGTGTGGGCAAGGTGGCATAAACGCTTATCCTCTCTCTCTCTGTGTGATCCACTCTTAGAATACTCTACGTGAAGAAGTGCAGATAGATCGCACATGCTCAGAAAGAGGGAAAAGGCGCTAGCAAGCTGAGTGATCCGCCCGTCCAAGCGACCTAAATGAGTCCAGAGCCGCTGGTTTAGGATGTGGGAACGGATGGCGCAATATGCGATTATACTGTGACTTATAACTTGAGAAAGGTCTTCACTCGATGTATGTAGTAGACGTCCTTCGGGACTAACCAAGAGGTTAGCTCCAGAAGCTCGCTGAGTTCATCGTGGCCATTGAGTCCACAGCCGTCAATAACTGCTGGATGTCTTCCTGCACGTTCCCTGAAGCGCAAAACAGATGATGATTGAGACATGACTTGATCCTGCAGACGTACCAGAGGTCGCCGACCAGTCCCAGGCTGGCAGCAGCTCTTGCTGTAGTTTGTACATGGTCGTTTCCAGCTTCGAGAAGAATCAGATCTTGACATATCTATGATTCCGGGCACTGGCTCCACTCACCGAAACCAGCGCGCCGGGGATCTCATCCACGACAGATTTCAGACCGTCACGATAGCACACGACTGCATCAGGCTCGTCGGGCTCGTATACCTCGTGTCCTGATAGCTGAAACGTCTCGAGTGCTCCAGGTGCGCCGTCTTGCGTTCCCAG